CCTTTTCACGAATAGACTACTTTCTCGTATCAGAAACCATGATGGGGGCAATCAAGAATGCTGAAGTGCTATCCTGGCTCCATATTCAAGACTGGATCACAAACCAATCGAACTGGTTATTTGCTTTGATGAAGTGGTTAAAAAGGGAGCAGCTTCCACAAGCTCAACAATTCCCTCCTGCTGAGCCAGACCTTCCAAACTGAGGTATGCAACTGTTGGGAGGGACAGAGATCTGCGCGCCTAAGCACTGGCCATCGATGGGAATGGTTTCAAAAGAGTTATCCCAACCTCTCAAGCACCGTGGCCAAAGTCTTTAGGAAACTAGCGTCTATAAGGAAACAGAGGAAGCACTCGCTAGAATTTGCGTTGAAATTGGCAGAAACCAACCTGGTAAACAACCCAGCCTCACCTCTGTATAATGATTTGTTCGACAAGGCACGAGAGGAATTGGCCATGTGGAAATGGTGGAACCTAAGAGGCCTTCAAATAAGAGCGAGAATGTGCGAATACGAACTCGACAATTCTATGTCAAAACACTTCTTTGCCCGAATCAAAGCAAACTCGAGAGCTACTATGATTGAAGGTCTAAGGTCCCACACAGCCCCGGAAACTGTGAGATCACATAGCAAAGGTATGCTAGAGATAGCTAACAATTTCTACAAGGACCTCTACCTCTCCAAAACCGAGGTTCCGATACCCTCCAACATTAGAGAGGCAAGGCAGAAAATGCTACACTACCTAGAACAAACAATATCAGGTTGAAGCACTCGACAAACCAATCACACTGGAAGAACTACATCTGGCTTTAAAAAGCATGAATAACAACAAGTCCCCTGGAATCGATGGATTAACAAAAGAGTTTTGGGAGAAATTCTGGCCCTTGCTAGGAGGTGACCTGCTACACTTCTACAAAGACAGCTGGTCCAAGGGAGGGCTGGGCAATCTTCTCAGCAGCAGCGTGGTCACGCTACTTTACAAAAAGGGTGAGAAAGAAGACATCAGGAATTACAGACCCATATCGTTGCTAACTCTTCCATACAAAATCCTGGTTAAGACCCTGTCCAACCGGATTATCAAGATTACCAACAAATGCTTCCACATTGACCAAACATGTTTCATCCCGGGTCGCTACATTCTAGACAATGTTATGACACTGAACGAGTCGGTAAGAAAAATCAGGGAAAGAAAAATAAACACTGCCATTCTCTTCTTTGATTTTGAAAAGGCATACGATCAAGTAAACTGGGATTTCATGGAAGCAAGTATGGAAAGAATGGGAGTTGGACCTAATTTCAGAAAGTGGGTTCGGATACTGTACAACAATGCAGAAGGCTGTGTCCAAGTCAATGGACTACTATGAGATTGCTACCCGATCTCCCGCTCGGTCCGTCAAGGGGACCCTTTGGCCCCATCAATCTTTCTATTCGTAATGGAGGCAATCGCATCCTTCCTCCGTAAGGATCCATCAATTCAAAGACTAGCCAGCACCAACGTAGGATCAACCCACCAGATGGATTTTCCAACAGCTATCATGTTCGCTGACGGTCTAACGGTCCTAATCAGAGCGTCTGATTCCTCATTCAGGACATTAGCTAAAGCAATGGAAGCGTTCAGACTAGCCTCAAAAATGAAGATCAACTGGGGAAAAACAATTGGCTGGTGGCTATCCGAGGAAGAGCCCCCTTCACTCCAAGGCGACGAGGCGGCTATGACATGGCAAACGCCGGACACACCCACCCGCTATCTGGGCATACTAATGACGAAGGAAGGACTGGCTCCCCAAATGGGCCCATCCATGCTGGCCAAACAGATCAATAAAATCGGAAGGTGGGGCAATGCCTTCACGTCCCTTATTGGTCGAGCACTAGTCCTCGATACATCAGTCTTTTCGATGATGTGGTACATTGCCTCCATTTGGGCAGTCCCTGATAGTTCACTTAAGGAACTGAACCGAAGAGCTAGGCTTTATCTATGGACATGAGACCCCAACAAGGACAAAGGCATATCCAAGATCGCCTGGTACGATGTTACAGGAAGGCCATGAAACGGAGGCCTAGGAATTATTGACCCCGGAACAGAAACGAAAGCCCTGCAAGTCAAATGGATCATCAAACTGCTGATGAAACCGGACAGCGCATGGAATAATCTGGCACTGGATAGTATCAGATCCGTGGCCCCAATTCCATCCCCAAACAATATGTGAGGTCTGTTTTGGGTAATGAATAAAGAATGGGTGATAACCACAGGACGTAGGAATCGCACGAGGAACAACAGGCTCGAAGACTCTCGACTGCCCACGCCTTACTGGTCACCATTACTCCGATCCTGGAGGAAAATAATTCCCAAGAAGATAAACAGACCCAAATCCAAGGATGAAGTACTAAGGCAACCGCTCTTCGGGAATGAATGGATTAAGAACGAGGCGGACAACCCACTCTTCCTAGAACAGAGGTGGTCGTCCTGGATCAAGAACGGTATCTAGAAAATTGACCACTTATGGAAGGAAGATAGAAAGGGCTGGGTAACGGAACAAGAAGTCAGCTCCCGATTGAAAGGATGCCACAGACGAGGGACCAATCTCCAGTATATACTTAGCTGCATTCCGCAGGAATGGAAAGATATCCTGGTAAAAGACGAGTCGTGGAGATCGGGTGAGTGGGGACTGATGATTCAAGAAGCAACACCCTCTAGAGCCTTTCAATTCTCCCATTGGCAGCAAGGCTCACACACTAGGGCCACTTTCCTCTCTTTTCCGATCTTCCTCACCAATACTGGTTTGCCAACTATCCTGAATTGCGATGTAGAGTCGTCAGTCTCAGTCAGAGTCCTTCCTGCTCTGGAAAGTAAGGGTCCTAGGGGCATGGCAGAAGTCAGTCTACAGACCCGACACTACAATCCGTAACTTGGAATTTGATCCAGCGGAATGGGCGTGGACGCCAAATAAGGCCAGCAACATTAAGACCAAAATTCCAATTCAGGATTACACAGTCAAACTTGGGTACAGACTGTCTCTAAAGACCAAAAATCCAGACCCTGTTATCAAAAACAGATGGCGGAATCTCGTCGGGCAGGAAGCAGACAAAATCACACGAATCCACTGGGATAAATTCAAACGCATCAGACCAATCAAGATCAGAAGTTTGCAGTGGCTGATCGCGTATGCAGCCCTTCCGGTGAACCAATGGCTACACACTAGGGGGAAAGCCGCAGACCCCAACAGCTCGGAGCATTGTACAGTATGCACTGAAGGCGCCGTAGAAGATATAGTTCACTGCCTGGTGCGTTGTAAAGAGGCTACTGAATAGCGGGCCAGAGCTTCATCACTCTGGGATTCCCTCTTCACTTCTCCCTTCCCCAAGCAACCCATTCAACTTTTCCTCTTGACTAACATCCCTGATCAGGCGCAAAAGGCAGAAAGGATCTGGTTTTAACTCATCAGGAAAGTGACCCTATGGGTCATAATTGAGGGGCGGTCTAACCCAAGGGAGAAGGTGTGGATAGAAACCAGCACTTTGATACAAGCTGAGATTCTCTGCAGATGGCGGAAGACCAAACAAGCTTGGGCAGAAGATGAAGAGCAACGTAACAAGGAGAGGCAGAGATTCTACAGGAACTGGCTGATAAATGGCAAGATTGCAGAATTGCGAGAGGACCGAGTATGCTGGAGGGAGTGGCACAATTCAGTACCAGAAAGAGGCTTTCGACAGCAGGCAACGTCTGAGGGCATATTCGCATCCTAGGCCTCAACAGAATGTAAGCGGCCCATCAAAGGCCCAGGGGGCACGAACAAAGAGGAAACAAGGGAGAGAGAAGGACTAGTTTGACTAGGGGAAAATACGGGAGCATGAACGCGGGTTACAAAGGAAGACTTTATCGCAGGGGGACGGAAGCTAAATCAATGCCAGTCAATGTACAAGCTCGACTATTGGAGGTCGGGCGCACAGGCGAAGGGTTTAGGGTTTAGGGTTTATCATAGATCTTCCAAAGGGGCAGGGAGGTGCGTGGGTAAGATACAGGCCGGCAAGATTATCGGATGAGCTCTTTCTAGGGACAATAGTGCTATCTGGCAGACCTGGACCCCAGGTCTGAGAGGAAAGAGTGGGATAGGGCAAGCTGACAGTCAATCCTCCAACGCGGTGGAGCAATCAATGCTGTTCAGGGATCCTTCGGCCTGACGGAAGGAAGCGTGTGTAAGTGTTCTTGATGTAACGGTTATTTTGACTTGCCAGTGGAATAGGAACCGGACTGATGCTCCCCAGAATAGAAGGAGCTAGGACCATAAGGCCCTGTTTTTTGTGAAAAAAAAAAAAAAAAACGTTTGAGAAGATGGAAGACAGCAGGAGGGGGGAAATCAAAAACTATTGAGAACCTCTGTGCCCCCTCTCTCTCGTCTTATCTTCCTTGTCTATTCCTGTATCTGATATGTGAGTTTACTTGTCTCCGTGTACGGTTGTGACCATATCATTTCCATACTTGGATTCACATCGAACTCGTCAAAAGGTCTGTCCCTGCCTCAAGTTCTTGATGCAAGAGGGGATTGTTCAGTGAACTCGGTGTGTGTGTGTGTGTGTGTGTGTGTGTGTGTGTGTGTGTGTGTGTGTGTGTGTGTGTGTGTGTGTGTGTGTGTGCGGGCACACCCACACGCGCTCGAGAGAGACACCCACAGAGACACACACACACACACACACACACACACACACACACAC